AAAAAGCCACGAAAAGGAAACTGGAGTAGCCTTACTTTACCACCCCAGTTCATTCCTTAGTGCAAAGCTTGCCATCAGGCTAATTTCATTGTATCTATTCTGATTCCTGGAGACCTCCACTTTTAGAACTTTGCTTTCACAGGAGATCCTCAGTTATCTGAGGCAATGGCTTTTGGAGTAGGAGTTTCCCAGATCATCTATAAAAACAAATTGTGGTACATTCCATTGGACTAAGGTGGAGTCAGGTCTGCACCACTCTGCCAACCCTCCCGTGGTGAGGGATGAGGACAGTCGCCGAGGTTTAGTGGTCTTGAAAAGTCTTGGTAAGCAGAAGGCTATGGATGGCTTTAAGCCCTTCGTTGGAAAAGAAGACCCGAGCTCGTCTCTTAACAAAAAGAAAATGAAGAGAAGATAAACCTTAAGTAAACTAAAGGAAAAAATTAGGATAACAAAAATCATTAAAAAAGAAAATAGACTTAAGAATTGATAACACCACAAACTAGGACTTTTAAAAAGATTAATAACATTTAATAAGCCTCTTAGCGAGATCAATGAAAGAGCAAACAAAGGTACAGATTAAAAATATCATGAATGAAATAGGGTAAATCAAATACATGCAGACTTTAAAAAGGTATAAGTGACTATAATGAATAACTTGAGGAATCTCTGGGTGACACAAACGGATCTGCTGGCGATCTGCTTCCAAAAGTTCATAGCTGTTGAAAGTTTCATGGAGCACAGTTCTACTCTGAAACACATGGGGTGCCATGAGTCAAAATTTACTCAGTTGCGGCTGGACATGGACAACCTTTTGTCAATACATTAATAACTTAGATAAAATAGTCACATTCCTTGTAAATCACAAGTTACTTTCACTGATTCAATATGAAAGAGAAAATAAGATTATTAAATAATTTATTTAATTAATAACGAAGACACTTTTGCATGGGACTAGTTTTACAATATCCTAGGTTCAATTATGATCATTTCAAACACTTAAGAAAGTCTTAATGCCAACACTAATAATTTATTTACCACATAAATTCTTTCAGAAATCAAAGTAAGGGAGAATACTTCCAAATTTATTTTAAAGGAACAGTTTAATGTACAATTATTGCTATCAACAAACTGTCTGGAAAGCGTTTTGGGGGTGAGGGAGAAGAGTATGAGAAGTTAGAATTATCAAAGCAGTGGATGGAGGTGAACACTAGCTGATCCTATTTTTAAAATGTGATAAACACATGTAAAATTTGAAAAATAAAACAAAAAGAAGAAAAGAAACTACAAATCAATAAACCTTAGAAAAAATCCAAAGGATAATAGTAAAGTGAAGGCAGCAGTATAATAAAAGAATACCACATATACTCGAGTATAAGATGACCAAATATCAGCCGGAGCACTAATTTTACCACAAATACTGCACAAAAAATGTACTGCACTGGACATCCCTTTACAGAAGGGTCACAGGGAGGAGACAAGCCAATCAGGGTGCAGTATAGCAACGATGAAACAAACAACTTTCCTCTAGTTCTTAAATTCTCCCCCTCACCCCCCACTATCATGATCCCAATTCTACCTTACAAACCTGGCTAGACCACAGGATGTACACTGGTACAGATAGGAACTGGAAACACAGGGAATCCAAGGCAGATGATCCCTTGAGGACCAGTGGTGAGAGTGGCTATACCGGGAGGGTGGAGGGAAGGTGGGGTAGAAAGAGGGAACCTATTACAAGGATCTATACATACCCCCTTCCCTGGGGGATGGACAACAGAAAAGTGCGTGAAGGGAGACATCGGAGAGTGTAAGACATTACAAAATAATAATAATTTATAAATTATCAAGGGTTCATGAGGGAGAGGGGTGGGGAGAGAGGGGAAAAATGAGGAGCTGATGCCAAGGGCTCAAGTAGAAAGCAAATGTTTTGAGAATGATGGTAACAAATGCACAAATGTGCTTGACACAATGGATGGATGTATGGATTGTGATAAGAGTTTTTTGAGGCCCCAACAAAATGATCATGTCTCATAGTGGGATTAGCCATATGGTTCACTCTGTGCATTGGCTGTTCGGAGCAGGGATATCGCCCTCCAGGCCTGGTGGGCCAAGATGTGTTCCACTCTCTCTTCCTCCCCATTCATTTGCTTCCGGGTACTCTGATCAGACATGTCCTTCTCCCCAAGCTGCAGCTTCAGTGCATGATCCTGGGACAAGAGGAAATTAAAAGAAAATAGAGGAAATAACTAGGAGGCAAAGGGCCTTTATAGAGATCTAAATACAGGCATGTACATATGTAAATATATTTATATAGGATGGTGGGGAAATAGATCTACGTGCATATATTTATAGGTTTAGTATTAAGGCAGCAGATGGACATTAGACCTCCACTCAAGTACTTATTCAATGCAAGACGCTTTGTTCTTTTAAATTGACATTCCATGATGCACACCTTCCCCAACACGATCACTGAAGACAAAGCGGGTGTATAAGCAAATGTGGTGAAGAAAGCTGATGGTGCCCAGCTATCAAAAGATATAGCGTCTTGGGTCTTAAAGGCCTGAAGGTAAACAAGCGGCCATCTAGCTCAGAAGCAACAAATCCCACATGGAAGAAGCAGCCTCAAGATGTCATCATGTAGTGCTTCAGAACTCCCACAGCAACCCAAACCTTCCTATCCTCCCACTCACTCCTCACTCCCCTTGGCCTCATGCACCTGACCACAAATTAAAGTGGAAGAAGACACCAGCCTGTGTGACCACGAGGTGTACAAGGGACCAGGTATCAGGCATCAAAAAACAAAAAATCATATCAGTGCGTGCCCACCTTCCCGATATGATCACTGAAGACAAATGTGTGCATAAGCAAATGTGGTGAAGAAAGCTGATGGTGCCTGGCTATCAAAAGATATAGCATCTGGGTCTTAAACCCTTGAAGATAAACAAGCAGCCATCTAGCTCAGAAGCAGCAAAACCTACATGAAAGAAGCACATCATTCTGTGTGATCATGAGGTGTTGAAGGGATCAGTTATCAGGCATCAAAGAACAAAAAATTCATATCATTGTAAATGAGGGGGAGTGCAGAGTGGATACCCAAAGTCCATCTGTAGGCAACTGGACATCCCCTTACAGAAGGGTCATGGGGAGGAGACAAGCCAGCCAGGTGCAGGGTAGCAACGATGAAACATACAACTTTCCTCTAGTTCTTAAATGCTCCCCCCTCCCCCATCATGATCCCAATTCTACCTTACAAATCTGGCTAGCCAGAGGATTTACACTGGTACAGATAGGGACTGGAAACACAGGGAATTCATGACAGATGATCCCTTCAGGACCAGTGGTGAAAGTGGGGATACCTGGAGGGTAGAGGGAAGGTGGAGTAGAAAGGGGGAAATGATTACAAGGATCTACATATAACCTCCTCCCTGGAGGATGGACAATAGAAAAGTAGGTGAAGGGAGACATCGGACAGTGTAAGATATGACAAAATACTAATAATTTATAAATGATCAAGGTTCATGAAAGAGGAGGGAGAGGGGAAAATGAGCTTATATCAAGGGCTCAAGTAGGAAGCCAATGTTTTGAGAATGATGATGGCAACAAATATACAAACGTGTTTGACACAATGGATGGCTGTATGGATTGTGATAAGAGTTGTGCAAGTCCCCAATAAAATGATTAAAAAAGAGAGTTGTACGAGCTCCCAATAAAATGATTTTTTTTTAATCAAGGAATTGTATAGTTAAAATGTATGCATTTAATAGATGGTGAACTTCACATCAAATATTTTTAATAAGTTAAAGATAAGAATTCCAGGCCCTATATTCTGACTACCATGGCATATAGAAGATAACACATTTACCATCCCTGTGATAAAACATTCATTTTAATGAGGACATTCTCATTTAACTTATAATCCTAAAATCATATGCATTAGATTATGTAATTTAAATGGGAATTTCCTTACTAAAATGAAGAGTAGCACTTAGCTGTTGCCCATGGACTGGGATGCATGTCAAGGATTGAAGTAGCATAATTGATGTGTTTACTTTTTGAAAACAAATGTCAGAACATCCGAACAATTTCTTATTCTGAGTCAGGCTTGGCAAACTATTTACTCCATATGGCCTATTTTTGTTCTGCTTGTAAACTAATTAAGGTTTCTGCAGTTTAAAGGATTGTTAAAAAATAACAATAAAGAAACATACGCAACAGATACTGTGTCTTAGAAATCCCAAATATTTTCTATCTGCTCCTTTACCAAGAAAAAGCTTGCTGACCCTGTGTCTTTGCTCCTTCATTAACAATGTGCTGCAACTGATAACTGACTGATGCTTCCAAAATTTTCATATATATATATATGAAATTTATATACACATACATATACATAGAGAGAGAGAGAGAGCATGGAGTACTGGTTGGTACATATTAAGCATACAATCACATTTCCTTTCCTCCAGAGACAGGGATAAATGTTAAATGGAATGATATGATAGGTATCTCTGGTTTCCCCAGTGATGTAGATGGCAGGAGCAATTTCTACCCTACAGCTTCTACCTGGGAAGAATTCAAGAATTTCTAGAGTTCTTTGTGGAGGATGTTTCTCTTTTTGTAGGCCAGATTAGAGGGTCTGCACTACATTCTCAGCAGCCTCAAGATGTCCTCCATGTGGTGCTTCAGAACTCCCACAGCACCCAAGCCTTCCTATCCTCCCACTCACTGCCCTTGGCCTCATGCACCTGACCACACAGTATAGTGGATTTTTAAAAACTCATTGTAGTTCTTTGAGCTTCTCTTTATTCCATATTCATAAAAGAGTGTCAAGAATAGCTGTGGGAAAATTCAGTCTCTCTGTGAGGACCACACTGTGTGAATGACACACGTATTGAAGTTGAGGATGGATGAAATTGTGGGCAGGAAGAAGCAGTACCTGCTGTGTGGCAACATTTATGTAAAGCTCTATGAATATTTACTGTATTTATTTCTCTCTGCCTTTTCCCTAGGCCTACTCTGTGTATGATGACGATATTGGATACTGTCAAGGACAGTCTTTTCTTGCTGCTGTATTGCTGCTTCATGTGAGTAATTTTCCACCTAACAAGTGACATGGTTAGTCTGGGTAGACTAGAAATACAAATTCGTAGACACTCGTGTATAAGAAAGAGCTTTATGTAAAAGGGCAATCGTATATTAAGAAAACATCCCAGTCCAGTCTAGATCAATTCCATAAGTCTAATATTAGCTCTTATGTCTGATACCAGTCTATAAACTCCTCTAAGACCCATGCAGCACATGCAGTGACGCCGAATGCAGGAAGATCACAGGCCAGTAGGTGGAAAGTCTTGTGGATCCAGTGGCAGTAGAAGCATCTCAGTGCTGACATGCATCTCCACGTGGCTCCTCTAGCTCCAGGGCTCTGGCTTCATCAAAGTAGCTCCATCTGACTTGTCAACAGGAATGTCAGGCAGAAAGAGTATGTGTCCCGCCTTCAGGGAGGACGACAGGAGTTCCCAGAATCCTCAGGAGAAAGCCATGCCCACAGAGTCACCATTGGCTGTGACCTGATTGACAAACTCCACTCCTTCACTCAAGTTTACAGGAGATTATTGAAGTGCCACACATCATGCTGCCAAGTTTATTTTATGCCCTTCTTGGTTTTGTTCTTCCATCTTATTGTTCATTTACCTGTTGGAGAGTATATGTGGCATATTTAAAAAAAACATACTTGTATGGTGGAGTAAAAATGGGACAGTTTCTCAACAGAATTAATTTTTTAGGAACTACACTGCTTATTTGGTGTTATTTTTAACTAGATCCTATTGGAATTAAAAGAGCCAATGTAAATGCCTAAATGTGAGCAGGGCCATAGCCATTGTAAACCACTTGCTGTGACAAGGAAGTCTTTTCAGTGATGTATTTATTTATTGTGTGTGTGTGTGTGTGTGTGATTTATTTTTATATTCCCTCTTTCCTACCTTTCACCTTATCTTAACAAAACATTTATTGAGCATCAATTTCTAGACACTGGGCTACACAGTGGGATTACAAAGATAATGAATAATTTATTATGCATATTCTCAAATACCTCACAGTCCAGGAAAAGGCTCAGACATGTCAGCACATACTTATCTGTCTTCTCTTTATGAGTCTTTGTTGATTTTTCTGATGACAAAACTATACATCATCCCTCAAGAACTTATAATGTGCTAAGAGAAAGAGATACATGGAGTAAGACAATAGAAAGAATTACCTAACTGAGCCCTGTAAGACTTTGAGGAAGGATTTCTCCGAAGGATGTTGCCGCTTTGCCAAGACAGATAATTGGGGTGTGCAGGAAATAAAGGGGAGAGAGTAAAGAATTCTAGTGAAACAGACATGAGAAAATGTATGTAGACAGGAAAGGTCACAGAATATAAAGAGATGGTATGAAAGTATATGTTACTATAAGAATTGTACAGGAGCCCTGGTGGTGCTACAGGTTAGGCATTGGGCTGCTAACCAGAAGGGCGGCAGTTCAAATATACCTCCACTACTCAGGAGAAGGGTGAAACTGTCAGCTCTCATAAAGACTTACAGTTTCATATGCCCTATATAGGGTTGCTATGAGTTTGAATTGACTCAATAGCAGTGGGTTTTTGTTAGCCCAAAAGTGTGCAGGTCAACCCCACCATTGCTCTGTGGGCAAAAGATGAAGCAGTCTGCTTCTGTAAAGATTTCAGCTTTGGAAATCCTTGGCGTAGGTCTACTCTGTTCTTTAAGGTTGTTATGACTCAGAATGGGCTCAATGTCAATGGGTTTGGTCTTGTTATTTTTTAAATAGGAATTGTACGTAGAGAGTGATCTGAGGTAAAAATGGCAACGTGGAGAGAGAAAAAATTGTGAAAACTCTATATTCATGTCTAATAATGTGGACTTTATTTTAAACCTAATGAGGAGCCAGCCATTGAGGGGAATGACATAATCAGATGTGCATTCTAGACCAATTACTATTATACCTGTGTGGAGAGCAAAATTGAAGGGACAAGCCTAGCAACAGAGAGACCAGTTTGGAAATATAAATCTAAATGAGAGATGTCGAGACTGGGTGTTGGAGGAGGACAGAATTAAGGAGCACTTGGGACACAAAAATGGTAGTTTGTTTATGATGAGTTAGTGAAGGAAAGTTCAAAGGTGACATGTATAGTTTTCTAGCTTAAGTGATTAGATAGAGTATGGTTTTGAATGAAGAGATAGAAAATTTATCCTTTAAGACTAAATGAAAGAAAAATGTATGAGTTAATTATGAATTATTTTGAATTCATTGAATTTGGTATGTCTATAGAACATCTAAGTTCAGCTCTTTAGTGATCATTTGGATACTGGAGACTAATGTGGAGGAGGAAATCAAAGCTGACATTTTAAGAGTGGATCTTAAGACCTAAGAAGAATACGTAGAGTAGGAAGAACAGGATAGAATGTAGGAACACCAAGACTATTGAAAAAATAGAAGGCTTGATGACATTCAGGCTTTCAATTGGATGGAAACAATGGATAATAGCAATTTCAGTAAGTTAAACTAAAACAGTTCCTCTGGGTTTGACATTTTTAAAATGGATAACAATTACAATAGATTGATGGTACCAATGATTCTAATGATAATAATGATACACACTGGTTCCATGGTGATTCATCACTTTATTTCACTTTGAGCTTAATTTCTTCCTCTGTTGCATTATCATCCATATATGACCTTCATCCCCTCCCTTTTAACCATCTTTATTTCATATCTACACATTCCACCTTCTTGGTAGACCCTGTGATGAGCAAGCCCTTTATGGCCACAGACTTTCAAGGCCCCTGTTTCCACTACTAAGCTTACCTAGTATTTAAGATAAAGAGATCTCTTTTCCAAGGTACTGGGGGTGGGGTAGGGAGTGGTGAACAATGATACAGGTTTGTTCATCAAGCTATCATCTAAAGGGAACATTTAGACATACTCTGATGAGAAGCTAATATTCAAGCCATGAGTGAAAGTTTTTTTGTTCTACAAAGTAATCTTGAAATATACCACAGTGTAGCATTTTTTACCTGTAGATCTTTTTACACTAGGCCATTGTAAAGAGGAGAGGGCCTTTAAACTTAGCTTTCAATAGTGGAAAAATAACTGCTGAATACAGAGAAAACCATTGTTTTTCATATTTTCAACACCTAAGTCTTCATCATACTTCAAGATTAAAGTATGGTACGAGAAAAATTCAGTAGTTCATGGATAAATGAATGGGATTAAGGGAAAAAAATTAAAAATATAAACTTTCTGTCTCAGCATAAGCATGATCAAGTCTTAGACAATTTTGTAAGTGATGGTAGCAGCCAATTTACTCTGTCCCTAAAGAATTGCAGATCTTGACATTTTGACTAAGTCAATTCAGTCTTTTCTGTATTATTAGCTGAAGAAAAATGTGTATCCTTTAGAGATTTATTAAAATTAAGAAAGGGAAATAAAAGTCAGAAGGAGCGAAAGCAGACCGTAAGGTTGATGCCTAATGATTTTCTATTGAAAGTCCTGCAAAACTGTTCTTGTTGGAATAGAGACGTGAACATCGGCATTGTTGTGGTGCAGAGGGGCTCTCTGGTGAAGCTTTCCTAGGCATTTTTCTGCTGAAGTATTGGCCAATACTTTCCTAAAACGTTCTTTAAACACTCTCATAATGAGCAGATGTTATCCTTCTTTGGCTTTCCAGAATGTCAATGGCAAAATACCTTGAGCATCCCAAGAAACTATTGACTTGACCTGTGCTCTAGACTGACCCATTTTTGCTTTCATTGGACCACTTCCATCTCTTAGTAGCCATTGCTTTGATTGTGCTTTGTCTTCAGGAGAGTACAAAAATCCATTGTGTTAGGCAGGGTTCTCTAGACACTCCAGGACACTTATGATTATCTATATATTTATAAGATGATAGGTTTATACAGTGAGAAGGAATACAACAGCTAATTAGTACACACAGAAGTAGAGAGGGCTCAATTCAACTCACTTTCGTGAAACAGTTAATATACTGGAAGTCCTTCAACTTACATGGGCTTCCGGATCCAAGGTCTAGGAAGCAGATAACGGAGACCTCTCTAGGGCAAGGCAGGCAGAGTCTACCACAGGCAGCAAACAGCCTGGTGGCTCAGCAAGAGTCAGTAGCTTGGGATCTTCGTGAAGCAGGCCTGGATGAGATATTGAACTCAAGCAATGCAAGTTGACAGGATCCAACAGCCTCAAGCTCAAGCATTATACGCACCAGCAGCATAGCAAAGAGGGTCTCGAAGGAGCCTCAAGCTCTAGCGACATGATCCATGGGTTGGCCCACAAGTTGTATAGCACTCAGGTCAAGGCAGCGAACTTCCTAAAGCAGCCGCATGCAGGTCCAGTCACCAGAGAGCAAGAGAGACAGGGGATTTACCTAACTATCAGAGCCATGTTTCATCTCCTGTTAAAATTGTTCCAAGAAATGCTACAGGATCTTGATTTGTTAAACATTGTTATTGTTTGTTAAGCATTGCTATTGAAACACTTGCTAAACATGGCTATTGAAAGTCCTACTCTTATATCCATCCAATCTGGGCATAACTATTTTGAAATCCATTGAGTGAAACGTTTGCTCATATTTAACTTTTCAGGTAGAATTGTGTATGCAGAAATATTTGAGACGTCCATAAAATGTCCAAAAATTTCAGCTGTTGTGCCTCTTCAGTTAAGGCACACACGTGACTAATTTTTTTCTCTGCAAAGTGATTTGGATGGTCTGCTGTTGCTGGCTTCATCTCCGACACTGTCCCATCCATTCTTACAGTGGGTTATCTATTTATAAATTGCTGCTGTCTTGGAGGCATTATCCTCATAGACTCTTTGTAAAGCATCAGTGATTTCACTATTCTTCTACTCACGCAGGACCATAAGTATGGCGTTTGTTCTTGCTAAAAGTAGAATTCATGTTGCTCTTATCAAGTTGATGTCTAATTCTTCTTAGTGCCTCAAACTAGATAATGTCAGACATTTGTAACAAGTTAGTGGGAGTTCATGTTGGTGCAAGACAATTATGAAATCCATACA